ACTGCCAAATCATTTCATACTACGGTCGTGTGCGAGTTCGAGTAAAGTGATGGTAACTTGAGGGAAATAGTAAATTATGTCGGTATGGCAGCGAATGATGGTATTTACAATAATTTCAAGTAGGGTAAATTACATAAAATTATGTGTTACCATTGTGAACATTTTATCATGTTATAAGATGTTTAATAAATAAATTTAAAAACTTTTAACCAAAAATAATAAATAAGTGCAATATATATACATATATACATATATTTCCATAAGTGCAGTGCAAGAAATCCCTAGAAAATTTCAATTTATTTTACCTCAATTTACTAGAACTGTTTTGGTTCATACGTTTGATAAATTTCTGTGAATAAAGCATTTACTTTACCTCAATATACTCGAACTCACACACGGACTACGTTTACATTGTGAGATCAAGAGAACGAGATTAATAGTACGTTTACATTGTGCGATTAAGAGAACGCGATTAATTTCATCTGCATTTTTAATCTAATTTTGACGTTTCTCTTGTTGTGTTTTGGTTCGTAAATTTGATAAATTTCTGTGACTAAAGCATTTAATTGCAATTTTGTATAAAAAAATTTATAATATATATTCAATAAATAGTTTTATAACAATAATTTAACAAATTTTAGTTATATTTATGTATAAAACTATTGTTAAACAAATTTAATAGAAATTTCACTCACTTCGGAATTCTCAAATTTTCAATGCTTGTTTTAAATAGATTTCGACATATATCTTTAAGATCGTAAAAAATCTACGATGTTGGGGCATTTCTTTTAAGATCGTAAAAAATTTACGATATTAAGCCATTTACAGAGTTGCACAGAAAATTGATCACCTAAAGTTTATTTACACGAAATTTATTTTTAAACTTTTGATGATTTGGATATAAGGTAAAAAAAAAATTTAACAAAAAACTTGAAGTATAATGAAATCTGTGCTAAAGTGGTACCCAGAAAAAGTATTGACATTGTTATAGAAATTAAAAATATAATGAAAATAAACCGACTTGTTCTATATAATGTAAAAGGCGCTGGTTTATCATGCAATTAAATTTTCCAAAATACAGAAACCAATATTAATCAAATTTTACTCAAAAGTAATAATGGATAGTAAAAAGCATTGAATATATATGGTCAAGTGTGTATGCGGTTCAATTTTTAAAATTAATTTTTTGCTTTTGAAATTTAATTTTTTAAAATATAGCAAAGGAGTTGCACAAAATAATACCGATTCGATTCGAATTTGTAAATATATCTGGCGAATGTGTAAGAGATACCGTGCCATCTGTGGGGATAGAAAGTATATTCAATAATAGGCCTTTTCTTTTGTAAGTATATCACAAAAGAACAATCGCTTATTTTAAAAATAATATATGAAAAATAGCATATGAAACAACGTTGCTGGCTTATTTAGTCTAACCTTTTTGAAATCACATGACTGCCAAGACTGAAAATATGTCTATTGTGAACGACTTTTGAAGTACTTACGAAATTTTCAGTTAACTGTCAACGAATGATTTCGTCAATTATTCATATTTCGTGTCGTCATAGTTTGCAACAAATACATTATTTCTCTATTTATTATTTTAGTGTTAAAGGGCATCCAAATTCATATTTTATTCAGAATCATGTAAAGAAAAATATTCTTACTAATCACACAAAAAATTATTATTCATTCTCAAAATTTTAACTTTAAATTTTATCACGTGTTTTGCATCACGTAATTTATGTTGTTCTTTTGCGATATGCTTACGAAAAAAGGTCTAATATCAGCAACTATTGGGTATATAATGATTGCAGTTATGACCAAGCGTCGATTGTTTTTGCTTTCAATGCAGAATGAAATTTTAGCACTGACAGCTTACTTTATTTTGCATTAAAAGCAAAAACAATTTCATGAGGTGACTGCAATCATGGCATACCCTAAAGTTAACTAAACAAGCAGACAGCCATTACCATTATCGTCCGCATCTTGTCTTATATTTTTTTATGTTTTTATGCAAAATATTCGATATAAGTTAATGTGATATGTTTGTCATCTCTGTTATCTCACGCAATTTAATTTTTGGAACATTCAAAACAATATCGAAAACTTTTTCAATGTTTCATTTAGTTGTGACCTCTTTTTGTAGACCCGGGTACTCGCTCTTCATTAAAATCTCTCGTACTGCCACTTTTAAATTCAGTTTTCCAATATTTTATTTTGGTTAACGATGGTGCAAGGATATCGTAAACAGAATCCATCTCCAATTTGATTGTATCATTGTTAGTTCCGTAGCAGCAGAAAACAATATGCGGGAGAAGCCATATGGTAGAATTTTATTTGAGCATTGTGACAAGTTTCGTGCTTTAATTAAGCCATATTTATTGATTTTAAAAGTGCTTTTAATATCATCAATAGAAAACTTTTATGGAACACGGTTTTCGACCGAGGCCTACGACTTTAACTTTTCAACTTAATAAGAGCAATGTACAATAACTTAAAATGCCGCATATTGCACAATGGTCTACTACTATAGAACCAACAGACGTAAAATGGGTGTGTGTCATGCTTGGATAAAATTATGTGAAGATCATTAAATAGCAGACGCGGAATTCAGTAGACACTGTGTGCACATCTAGAGAATCTCGAGTATGCGGATACAGCTTGCTTAGTTAGCCCCAAGTTAGCTAATCTAGAATCGAACCTGAAGCAGTTACGTATTAACAGCAATGCTTATACTCATTGTTCTATTAAGCATTCAACATATGCAATACTTTACATATCTCAGAAGCGTTATCACTAGTAAAAGTGAAGCTAACCAACACGTTACCATTCAAATTAATAAAGCCAAATCCTCCTTTGGCATTCTCAACAACATCTGGAAATCAAGCCACATACGATATCTGTTAGAATCAAACTTTGCATTTTTGAATTCAATGTAAAATCGATACTTTTTAACGGATGCGAGATCTGAAAAAGCTCGCACTTAATACTTAAGAATACTTTAGAGTAGATGGTCGCAGATTATAAGTTATGAAGCTCTCTAGAACCGGAAATATCAACAAATGGTGCCGGTTGCGATTAAGCGCCGTAAATGGTCTTGGATCAGGCACACGCTTCGAAAACCTGAAAATTACATTGCGAAACAAGCACTACGCTGGAACCCTCAGAGGTCTAAACGTCAGAAAGCTCCATATCCATACCTGACACTGAAATGAAATGAAATTTGTCATAGTGCTCGAATAGTATGAAATTTAGATCTGTTGTAGAGGCCCCATGGTCAACGAGGAAAAGAGGACTCCAGTAAATATGTAAGTAATATAAGTTAACACCCGCTGCCTCTCGAATCCGGCTCTGCGCTTAATTTCATTAACAGTATAATCATGTGATAGCAATCAGGCATTGCTATCAAACGGGACATCAGCTTGTTTGTCTGAAAAATTCCCGTTTTGCGTTCGTAGCTGTCCTTTATATGCTTTGGCTACTGAAAAAAAGTACGTTTTCGTCTTTTATTTTATTAACTTATATTAATTTGAATTTCTTGAATACCCGAAAGTGAATCTATATATATAAGAATGAATGTTGTCTGTCTGTCTATCTCTCTGTCTGTCTGTACTCAATGGATTCAAAAACCATACATCCAATCACCGTGAAAATTTGGGAAATCAGTAGGTATATTCCCGGGAAGGTTTTTGGAAATTTTTATTAAAATCAGAGTTGGGGTTCTATGTTGCAATGGGTATTTTTTTGATTTCAAGTAAAACTAGTCTGGCAGACAGTTCACGACTAGGGTTCTTCCAGTTGTAACATAAGCATGTAACAGTAGAACAAATACTATAATATTTGGTTATTTATCTCCATTTTTATTAAAACCTACCTTAGCAGAAGCAGTAAATAGCATGTAATTGCTGAGTGGTTTCGGGATATAGACCAGATCACTTCATACACTTTTGGTCTACTTCTCATACCAGAACTTACTTACACGGGTCATTAAAAAAATAATTTATGATTATGTTCGTCTAAAGGACTCTATAAACGGTAGAGATTATTACATATTAAATTAAAAAAAAAATAGTTTACTCATCTAGTAATAAAGAAAAGAATTTGCAGTAAAAGGCATTTATTCATTTTTAAATTATTTTTTTTCTATACATTTATATATATACAAAATCAATTTTAACTTTTAAAATTACCATCTCGATGGAAAATCACACGGTGGAACTGCCATCTTTATAAAAAACTGCATAGTCACCTCAGAATCAGAAAATCATAGCACAGGACAAATACAAGCGAACCCAATAACGACTGAAGATTGACATGATCTGCTGCTGTTTATTGTCCTCCAAAGGTTTCAAATACGAAAGACAGGTATTTAAATTTCCTTAAATCTCTTGGTCAAAGATTCTTAGTTAAAGTCAACCCAAAAATTTTGAAATGAGAATCACTATATTAACAAACGCAAAGGGCAAAAATCTTCACACTGCATTGAATGAATATAAAGCAAAATTTATAAGTTCTGGTGAACAAGCCTACTAGCTAAGTAACCCAAGTAAGCAACTAGATCTAATTGACTTTTTTATAATCAAAAGCATAAATGTGAATAACCTTTCCATACATTCCAGCGCTGGGCTGTCACTTACCGTTAGTACTAGTTTACAGCACAACTCCTCATATAAACAATACGAACAATAATACTTACAATCACAAAACGTATTGGGATACATATCGTGAGCTGATAGAAGAACAATTAGTTATAAATGTACCACTAATAACAAAAGAGGAAATTAATAATGCAATAATCAATTTCAGTACACTACTATTATCTGCAGCATCTTTATCTACACCAATAACTAAAAACAAAAATGTAATACCTCTCCTGAATCAAATTAAGCATAAAATATT